ACTAGTGGTCGTGGTTCGCGTCAGCGTCCTCCTCCTGTCCCTGGCACGCACCGGATGTCTCTGCGTCCGTCCACTGCTCCTCTGCGTGCCCCTTTGCCTTCTCCTCCTGAGTCCTCTCTTCCTGCTCTTCCTGACCCGGAGTCGGACTCTCTTCGTGCTGCCAGTCCTACTGTCACGCGTCTCCTTGCTACTGTTGTCACTGACCCTTCCTTTGAGTCCACTGCTGCGTCTGCCCTAGTTACTGAGCTCGTCGACTTTGCTGCTCGCTGTCGTCTAGACTACGCTGCTAGTCTTGTTGCTGAGTCTGAGTCTATCTGTCCTCCGTCCGTCGGGGGTGAGTGTGCCCTTGGCACGGACGTCCTTGAGGACAGGCAGGAGGAGTTCCAGTGTTTGGCTGCTGCTTCACCTCATCTCGTGTCCGTACTGCTTACCCCTGAGGGAGACCCGGATGCACTTGACATCCCGACTCCGCGCTCTTACGCGGAGGCGATAGAGGGTCCCTACTCCTCTCAGTGGCAGGCAGCTATGGACGCAGAGATGGCTTCCTGGAAGTCCACAGGCACCTACGTTGACGAGGTTCCCCCGCCTGGGGCGAACATCGTCAGTGGCATGTGGATTTTCAGGGTGAAGCGGCCGCCGGGTTCTCCGCCTGTCTTCAAGGCGCGTTACGTGGCTCGTGGCTTCAGTCAGCGGCAGGGAGTTGACTACTTTCAGACCTTCTCTCCCACCCCGAAGATGACCACTCTTCGGGTACTGCTGCACATAGCTGCTCACCGCGACTACGAGCTGCACTCTCTTGACTTCAGCACTGCTTTCTTGCAGGGCAGCCTGCACGAGGAGATCTGGCTGCGTCGCCCACCTGGCTTCACTGGGTCCTTTCCTCCTGGCACCCAGTGGAGCCTCCGGCGGCCAGTCTACGGTCTCCGCCAGGCACCGCGTGAGTGGCACGACACACTGAGGACTACACTTGCGGCTCTTGGGTTTTCTCCCTCTACTGCCGACCCGTCGCTGTTTCTGCGCACCGACACTTCTTTGCCGCCGTTCTACATCCTCGTGTACGTCGACGACTTGGTCTTCGCCACAACTGACACTACTGGACTCGCCCACGTGAAGTCCGAGCTGCAGAAGAGACACACGTGCACAGACCTGGGTGAACTGCGTAGCTACCTTGGCTTGCAAATCACCCGGGACAGAGCACGCCGCACCATTACCCTGACTCAGTCACACATGGTGCAGCAGGTCCTTCAGCGCTTCGGCTTCACGTACTCCTCGCCTCAGGCCACTCCTCTGCCTACTCGCCACTCGCTCTCAGCTCTGCCTTCGGATGAGTCCGTAGAGTCGAGTGGCCCGTACCCAGAGCTTGTTGGCTGCCTCATGTACCTGATGACCTGCACACGACCTGACCTTGCATACCCTCTTAGCATTCTTGCACGCTATGTTGCTCCTGGGAGACACAGACCGGAGCACATGGCTGCAGCGAAGAGGGTGTTGCGCTACTTGTGCAGTACGTCGGGCATGGGGCTTGTGCTTGGAGGGCAGAGTCCAGTGGTCCTCACTGGGCACGCAGACGCTTCTTGGGCTGACGACCAGGCTACGCAGCGGTCGTCACAGGGTTACACCTTCAGCCTTGGTTCCGGCTCTGTTTCGTGGCGGGCTACCCGCTCGTCTTCTGTTCTCGGCTCCAGTTGTGAGGCTGAGATCTACGCCGGGGCCATGGCTGCACAGGAGCTTCGCTGGCTCACCTACCTGCTGACTGACCTCGGAGAGCCGCCTCGTTCTCCTCCAGTACTGTACGTAGACAACAAGGCCATGCTGGCCTTGTGTCGAGAGCAGAGACTGGAGCACAGAACGAAGCACATTGCTCTCCGCTACTTCCTTGCTCGTGAGCTACAGCAGCGTGGTCAGCTGCGGCTTGCGTACGTGGCCTCTGAGGCCAACACTGCTGATATCTTCACCAAGGCACTTGCGCCTTGTGATCATCAGCGCTTCTGTACTCAGCTGGGTCTTGTGCCTACCTTGCCTCACTTGCTCACCCCTTGACCTTGTTTGTACTGTTGCATATATATATACACCTGCTCTTGCTTGCCTAGCCTTATATATATATGTAATCCTGCATGTGAACTGGCCTTGTGGCCTTGAACTTGTGCTCGGAATGTGTGGTGACTTTGTGATCCACCCTGAGCTTGTTTTGCTTTGCTTGACTGGTCTTGTGACCCCTTGTTCTCCCCCACTTTGCCTATGGGGGTGTGTCAGATTTATATGACTTAGCTACTGTAGGCTATAGTGGGGTAGCACATATGGGGTACAGTTTTCCTAGGGTTTGCATTTGTACCCAACTTTCCCTTAGTCATTCCATTCCTCGTTTCTTCTCACTCAACGCTGCAAAGTACGCCGACACCATCGCCAAACGCTTCTCACTTACGCCGACCACCATCTCTACGCCATACCGCTACACGGCAGGAAACAACAAGGAAGGATCCGCTCCACTAAAATCCGCCGACATACGCAACTACCAGAGGAAGATGGGATGCCTCCTCTTCGCAGCTGTTACTTGTCGTCCAGACCTATTGTACTCCGCAAGCCAGCTCGCAACCTATCTCAAGAGACCTGAAGGAGAACACATGGCCGAACTCGACCGTGCTCTCCACTATCTCGTCAGCACCGCAACCGTCGGTCTAACCTACCACAAGAACGGGACTACGATACCTAAACTAGTCGGCTACGTCGACGCAGATCAGGCCGGCTACATCTATCGCCTCGAACCTATCGGACCTATTTCCTGGCAATCGAGCAAGCAGGAACTAATCGCTCTCTCCTCAGCTGAAGCTGAATATATCGCACTCTGCTCAGCCACCAAGGAAGGACTGTACCTTCGCGAACTTCTGGAGGAGGCGAAGCTGGCTCAGTTACCCAGCTTCTCCTTGTTCTGCGACAACCAGTCGGCAATTCGCATAGCCAACAAAAACGGATTCGCGAACAGGACGAAGCATATCGCCCTGCGATATTTCTTCGTAAAGGACGAGATCGAGAAGGGGAGACTTGAGCTGTCTTACTGTCCCACATCCGAGATGGCAGCTGATTACTTGACCAAGAAGCTCGGAAAGTCGAAGTTCGAATATTGCATGCTGCTGACTGGACAAAGCCACGTTATCAGCAGCGACACTCCAGAAGCGAAGGAGAGTGTTGGAAACAATTGATTTTAGCGCCTCTGTCGTGTCGAAACACCAAGTCAGAAGCGAAGCGAAACATATTGAAGCATCAGCGAGTCAACCCTCGGAGGTTGAACAACTGCTGGAGGTTACGCGAAAGTCAAAGGATAGCGACCTTTGACCTGACAAATACAGCGCGACAGCAAGGACAAACAACTGACTCGCTACTAAGCAGTTGCTCGAGTCGACACTGTATCGAACCGCAACAGCAACAGTAAAACGGTTATTAACCGTATCTCTTCATATTCCTTGTATCCTTATAAAAGCTTGTATCTCTTTGTTTTAATCAATCTACTTTGCCCTCACATACTAGCGCAAGGTGGTTCACAAGTCTCTTATTTAACGCTTCCGCTATTACATTGTCCTACCCTGAATTTAGTCTTGCAAAGATCCTAAGGGCTTTCTCAGCCCAACACAATCAGAGCAGCGCGACGCCAAACTGGGCGATCTGATGACTGCAGCTCTCCTGCCCAGTGATGGTCTGAACTGGGTGAATGTGGTAGCCGTGTTCAATGCTAGGAAGAAGCGCCGTCCTGCCCAGGAGTTTCTGTATTGACTTGTGCTGCTCTGCTCCCTGCTAGGAGTATTCTGCTGGAACCGGACCAGGCCAGACCATCCCATATGTAGGTCGTGTTGTTGTTCTAGTTCTAGTCATATATTTATTGTTCTTTGCACGTCATGTCAACCTAAACATTAAGCGTTGGTTAAAAAAAAATGGTACAACTAACCGAGGTCCACAGTACACTGACGAGCACGAGTAACAATGCAGCCAACACTGATACCGTATACTCCCGGACAAAACACCCCCCCATAATTGTACACCCCCGGGTAGCTTGTGCGGGGTGGGTGTTATGGGGAGCCTCGTTTCTACTATACCCCCCTTTTGGGCTGATTTTCTATAACACCCCCCTTTTCTTACGAATTCGTTATAATAGTCGTTAACGAGTAGCTGCAATATTGAAGAATATCGCGAAAATTTCTCCGTAGATGAAATTTCGCGGTACATTCACTTACAATCTACCGAGATTTCCCCCATCGCACTACTTCGCTGTGACCACGTGCAGGCGAATCTTCCGCTGCAAGTGGCAAGAGAGGTGCCACATGGCATTTTCGTGGGGGTGATGAAGCTCATGGCCGAAACCCACATTCGCGCCTCAGACAGTGATGTTAAAATGAAAATCAAAACACCCACATTGTCTAATTAAATAAACACTAACACTAAAATATACCATATGTAAAGACCCGGGTATTATGTATTTTTTTCCTATGAGGAGACCCCCCCCATTTTTTCCCTGTATTTTTAGCTATACCCTAGGGTGCTATGTCCGGGAGAATACGGTACTCAAGACTGACATGGCTGCCCCCCTTACTGAAAGACCAGCTTTGGCAACCTGCCCTTTCGACTAAGAGTGCTTCCAAACCTATCCAGAGGCCTGCGTCAGGCTGTCAGTACAGCGCACCACTGTTCGGACAAGCACGACCTCTCCTGCACAAGGTGAAAATCGTGGCGGCAAAATTCCGTTTTTAGATGCGTCATGGGCAGAAATATGCTCAGCATCTACACGTAGCATCAATGTTGTGTACAAGATTTGGATCATCACTACAGGCTAACAAATGCCGTTCTTATCAGCTGCTCTCCTACAACCCTCCTGCTCCCTTTTGCCTACCCTATCCAGCAGTGTTCCCACAACTTGCAAATTAATGCCAGGGCTAATGCAGCCTCAGGCGAAAAACTAGAACCTGGCCCTGCAAAGATCAGCATAACACCAGTCATGGGATCTAGGCTTCAGCTCAGCTCCCAATGCGGTGGTAGAAGAGCAGGTAGGCTTCACAGCGCAGCACCCGCTCCAATGTTGTTGCCTGGGCGTGCGTGTCACTGATGTACCACCAGTGCCCACCCTCCCATCCGCCACACTCCCTTGCCTGCCCCCCTCCCCCACCACACACCTTCCCCAGCACTCCATTGCCCTCTGCAGTAACCCCATTGATCTGCACTTTGACCCCCCCACCCTCGGCCCCACCTGCTTGCACCAGCTCCGCTCCACTGCATGCACCCACATCTGCCTCCCCACTGCTTTGCACATCCGCTGCACCCCCTTGCTGCTGCTGCCAGCCGCGCAGCACATAAGCCACGTAGTGCCCGCCTCGCATCGTGCCGCTGTGCTCCACCACCCCACACAGCCGGTACCGGTGGGGCTCACCCTTTGCCTGAGCCTCAATCTGAGACTGGGACTGGTCCTCCAACACACCATCCAATGGCGCCTCGCCACCTGTCTGCACAGCTAGAGGCGCCTGCGGTGTGTGCAGCGGCTTGGGTGGTGCCGATGATGATGCTGATGGTGATGGTGCGGTGTGGGTGGGTGGGGTTCTGTGTGGCCATGTGACAGTGACACATGGGGGCAATCGGAGGGCATGCGGCAAGGGAGAATATTGATGAGTGAGTGGTTAGCAGATCACAGGGAGGCGCAGTGGGACACAGGTATGCAGGGAGGCAGCAATTATGGGGCAGCAGTTGCTTCTGACAATATTCAGCAACAAGCAAGAGCAAAAGGAAGAGCGAGGGGGGCGGACATGCAATGGAGGGCTCACAGGGGGTGGGGGTCGACCAAGGGGCTGAGGTCCAGCCACTCGCCAAACGCCACGTGGCCACTGATCTTGGAGAGCCTGCCGCGGGTGTCGTGGCGGAAGCGCTTGAGATGCACCACCAGCACGGGCGGTGCCCTGTTCACCCGGTACCACTTCCGAGCCTCACTGCACACCCGCACCCCCTCCTCCTCCCCCTCTGCCTCCTCCTCTGACTCCTCCTCCTCATTCTCCCCTTGTTCGTCTCCTGCCCCACCGCCAACACCAGCGGCAGCAGGAGTGGCAGGAGTCACATGCTCCACGTCTCTGCATTCCACATGACTGCTGTCATCAGTGCCACCGGAACAGCCTACTGCTGCCACACTGCCTGCTGCGGGTGCATCCTTCGCCGCAGGGTCGACATTTTCTGCAGTCACACCGTTCGCTGCAGTCACACCGTTCTCTGCAATCACACTGTTCTCTGCAATCACACTGTTCTCTGCAGTCACACTGTTCGCTGCAGTCACACCGTTCTCTGCAATCACACTGTTCTCTGCAGTCACACTGTTCGCTGCAGTCACATGCTTGGCTGCAGTCACATCCTTGGCTGCAGTCACATCCTTGGCTGCAGCCGCGTCGTTTCTTTCAATCCAATCATAAGCAGAGCTAACTACTGCGGTCGCAATTGATGCCACCACTACCCTATCCGCCTCGCCACTCACCTCCCCCACACTCTCTGTCCCTTCTCCCCTCGCCCCTTCAGCAGCCACCACACCACTACCTTCTCCGCCCTTCCCCTTCCTCCCTCGCCTCTCCTCCCTCCGTCTGCGCATCACCTCTTTCCGTCTGATGGCGGTGCAGCCATCACAGCCCCACGCATCGTCCCCTCGTAGCACCTCCTCTGCGCTGAACTCACACAGACACCCCTCCACTGACATGCGCGTCGCTGCCTGCTGCTGCTTCGCCTGCTGCACCTGCTTCTGTGACAGCTGCGGCGACTGCGCCTGCGGCTGCGGCTGCAACTGCGGCGGCTGCTCTGGCTGATCTGACAGGAATCCCACCCTCCGTCCCCGCCCCTTCTCCGTGCTCGAGCTCACAACGCCACCCTCCTGTGCGCCCGCTGCACTGCTGCTGCATGCCACACTCGCACCCATGCTGCTGCTCCCCATGGCATTGCCACCGCCCTCTCTGCTGGAGGCGTCAGGCCTGCTGCAGGCGCCGGTGACTGCACTGTTATCACCTTGCCTCGCTCCTCTCCCATCACTCTCCTGCTCTTCTCCCACCCTCTGCTCCTTCCCACCCTCCTCGGCGGCATCTCTCCCTTCACCAACTATCTCCTTAGCAGCCATCCCCTCAGCAGTGTTCCCGTCAACGGCGCTCCCATTCGCAGCATCGCCACTGCTACTGGCCTCACCACCATCCCCTGCACCACCCTCTTCCCCTCCCACTGCTGCTCCCTGCTGTTCCTCTTCCACACCTCCACCTGCCACGTCACCTGCTACACCATCCGCCACACCACTTGACACGTCACCCGCCACATCACGAGCCTCTGCCACCACCTCACCATTCCCAGCACCTGCTTGCGTTGCTTCCACCACGCAACTGCTGATGCCACTGTTACCATCGCTACCGCTGTTCCTGTTACCATTGCTACCGCTGTTCCTGTTACCATCGCTGCTAATGCCACTGGAATCATTGCTGCATGTGCCAGTCTCTGTGCGTCCTTTGCTCGCTTCCCCATCGCCCACACTCCCTTTCACCCCCTCCACCGCCCCTCCCTCCCCTCTCTCCTCCCTTCTTTCCTCTGCCTTTGCCTCCCTTCCCCCTGCCACCTCCCCCTTGCCACCCCGCCCGCCTTTCCCATCCCTCTTCTCCACCGCCGTCCACTCGCCCAGCTCCGCCCCCTTCCCACCAACATGCGCCTTCCTGCTGCTCTGCACTGCCATGTGTGCGCGGGGAGAGGGCGGGGGGGGCGCAACGGGGATGGGGAGGGAGAGGTCGAGAAAGGGTTCGCTGACAGTGGACGAGTGCCCGCACTCGCAGCACACCACCGTGCTGCTCAGCACCCCGCCAAACAGCCTCTCCACCACACTCAACCTCTTCCCATTCTCTCCCCCTCCCCCTCCGCGTCCCCCCTCCCCATCCCGCCCTGCCTCCTCCCCATCCTCGTCCTCCTCCTCGCTTTCCCCCTCGCCCCGCTCCTCTTCCTCCCACCCCGCCTCCACAGCGCCTGCCTCTTCCCCGCTCCCCTCCTCCTCCAGCCATCCCAGCCCCATGCCCTCTCCCCCCTCCTCCCCCCTCTCCTCCCTCATTCGCTGCACCTCCTCCGCGGCGGCGCCCCCCTCCACGCGCCTTAGCCGCGCCATCGCCTGCCCCAGCCCCGCACTCAAGCCCGCCAATGGCCCCGAACCCCCCTGCCCCTCCGCCTTCCCCCCCTCCTTTATTCCCCCTGCCCCTCCTGCAGCGTTCGCCGCAGGGAGGGATGGGGGAGGAGGGGGAGGCGGCGGGGCGGAGGGGGGAGGAGGGGGAAGCGGCGGGGCAGAGGGGGGAGGAGGGGGCGGGGGCGGAGGCGGGGTGGGAGGAGGGGGGGGTGCGCAAGGGGGGACATTATCGCGAGGCGGGGGCGGGGGGGGAAGCGGGGGAGGGGGTGGGGGAGCAGCGGATGCAGCTTGGCGTTTCTTCTTGCGGGCAGCAGCAGCGGCGGCAGCAGCGGTGCCGTCTTCCTCCTCCTGCAGCAGCTGCAGCAGGCACCGCAGCAGCTCGTGACTGTCCTGCTGCTCATACCCTCTGAACCGAGGTGCCTGCCTGCACACCGCGCCAAACAGCTCCCGCGGATTGTAAGGCGACGCTTTCCACCCCCTCCCCTCCGCCTCGTGCTGCTGCGCCCGCTTTCCCCCGCCCCCCTTGCCATGCTTCCCCCCCGCGCCCCGCTTTCCTCCTCCCCCCGCGCGGGCTGTTGATCTGCGCGAGTGGAGCGCCTTGCCCCTCGCCACGTGGCCGCGCGGACAGCAGATGCTCTCCTCCGATTGGCTGCCTGGGGCAGCTGTAGCAACGGCACCAGCGGCATCAGAAGCAGCAGCAGGCACGAGGCCCGGGTTCAAGTCTTCAAAGACGCGTCTCAGGGCCATACCGATGGGCCCCTTGAACCTTCTCTTCCTCCCCCCCACCTTCACTCCTCCCCCTTTCCGCCCCCCTCCAACCTTCCCCTCTAACCCCTCCTTATCCCCCCCATCCGCATCCGCACCTTCAGTGCCCCCTCCGCCATCGCCCCGCCTCTCTGTCCCCGTGTCCGCCAGAGCAGGCGCCTCGACACGTGGCAGCTCCGGATTGGCGAGGAAGTGGTCTCGGAGCGCAGGGATGGCGACAAGGTTCTGAAGGACGGAGTTGAAGAAGCACGTGTTGCCCAGATTGCTCAACCCGCGCACCGGCCCCTCGCCTCCCCCGACTGCCCGCCGCTCCCCCTCCCCTTCCCCCTCATCTCCACCCTCCCCGTCTTCCGCCTCCTTCTCGACCTCGTCACCTGACAACCCCCCCTTCCCCGCTCCGCTCTTCTTCTCTCTCCCCTTCGCTGCAGCCACCGCATCCCGCCCCTCCTTCGCCTTCCCTCGCCCCTCCCCTATCTCCGCCGCTCCCTCCTTCGACCCCCCTTTGCTCTGCTCCGCCGCCTTAGCGCGCGCCACTTCCGCGCGCCTCTCCGCCAGCAGCAGGAGGAACTCGCGGAGCGGATGGTCCAAGGGGAGGCTTTGCGCCCATGGCACGCCCCCCTCAGCAACACTATCCCCAGCAGCGCTCCCCCCTTCACTCGCATGGGTGGTCGCAGCATTCGCTGACGTGTCACTCCGCGCCCCTCCCCCTCCCGCCTCCCCCTGTCTCTCCACCCCCTCTTTCACCGGATTTTCTTCCGCCTGCGCGCACTCAGAGTCAACTGCCTGTGCGCACTCAGAGTCAACTGCCTGCGCGCGTTCGCCGGTTTCGGCGCGCAGCAGCACGCAGCGGTGGCAGCGGAAGCACCAGACGCGCAAGGACTGCGCGTGCGCCATCAGCGCGTGGCTCTTCAGCTGGCTCCAGTGCTGCTGCGCGTGCCCGTAGCCGCTCTCCCGCGCGCCAGCGCCTTCCCCATCCCTTCCGCCATAGCTAATCCCTGTTTCCGCATCCCCTTCCGCCATTTTCGCATCTCCGCAAAACCCCCGCGCGCACACCAGGCACACCCAGAGCGACTCATCCGCCGTACCCGTTATAGGCGCCGCATGCTCCTTCTTCTTGCTGCTAGCCAATCGGTGGCTGTGCTGGCTGCACGGATCGCACGCATCCACGTGGCGTTTCTTCAGCTCGCGAGTGAACTTCTTCAGATCTAAACCCTTGTGGTGATGACACGTGGCAACGCGAGCCAGCGACTCGTCCTCTTCCTCACCCACCATCGCATCATTCGCCGAAACTTCCGATCCAGGAATACAACCAGCCGAAGCTGCTTGCGTCGAATCAGCATCACTGACGCTAGTCGGAAACTCAGTTGCCTGCGCGGCACTCTTTGATTGGTCGTCACACGCTGACGTGGCACTCTCAGCTGCTGCGGACGACCCAACAGGTGTCCGCGCGGTTGTGGTTTGACCTGCCGCCTTGGCCTTGCGTTGTTGCTTCCGCTTCGACATCGCGGCCGCTGAGAGTGTGGCCGGCGTCGCAGCGACGAAGTCCCACGGCGTCCGCGACTCAACTTGCCTGGTCAGGACTGTCCTACAGGTAGTGTGGTGTGGTGGACCTAGAAGGATGCCCAATTACAGGGATCCGCTGCTGAGTGTTTGGTTGGTGGTCTTGGAATCCGAATCTCCTCCTGTGGTTGTCACGACATCATCAAAGGTGGCCCCTCGATTATACCGCAACCGTACCGAACGCCAGATGCAAGGAAAATACACCGCCTTTCGCTCTATAATACATGAAAGAACAACTCCACTTTCATCTCCTTTCAGTGACACATCTACAGCTTTATATATTAATTTTGTGGAAGGTACGTTACCTTCCTGCGAATCATGAGTCGATGCTCCGAGCTGAGTTTTTATTGTCGAGCAAGGGGCTCTCTAACGATGGCTGGGTGATTTCATCTGACGACTCGTCCAGGTGTGTCGTGAGCACAATGCCGCCCGCCAGGAGAGATGAAACGAGGGGCAGCAGAAAAAGGACCCACCGCACAATAGAGCGCGGACAGGTGGGGCTGGTGGGACCACAAAACTCTTCTTTTGCTGCACAGCACAGCACAGCATAGCAGAGCAGAGGAAGGGATAGCACAGCAGCATTCATACTGATATTAGTCGCGTGGTGAGGGGAGTGCTAGACACTGTCACATGCCCAGTCACATGTCCACTCATGCAGGAACCAGGCAGCAGGCAGGGGCAGGGGGGGGCAGCGAGAGAGACATGAGTTATGGCAAGGCGGGCATGGTTGGGGGCGTGGGAGGGACTGACAGTTGAAGGCCTGTATGGCAACGAGGGCGATGCCGCAGGTGAACTTGTCAAGGAAGGACAGCGAGCCGTACACAAAGGCACACACCAACACATGCTGCCCCACCAACACCCCCTCCAGACTCGTTGCCGTCACCTGATGGGATGGGATGGGATGGGATGGGATGGGATGGGATGGGATGGGATGGGATGGGATGGGATGGGATGGGATGGGGGAAATGCGCGCACATGCAAGAGGGAGATGCGGGGAACTTTTGAGATGTGGCTGTCTCCTGATGGGCTGGGACGGGGTGAATGTGTGTACAGGCAAGAGGCAGGAGGAGGAGGGGTACCAAGGACGCAAATAATGGAGCTGACAGGGCTGGTGGTGACAGGGCGTGCATGGGCGAGTATGAGTGAAGGGAAAGAAGAGAGTGCAACAGCATGAGAGCACGAACGGGAGAGCACTAGCACGGGTGAGGTAGGAGGGGTGTGCAAGCAAGAGAGGTAGGGGAGGGAGCAGGGGCGTACGAGCATGAGGGCGTTGGAGATGCCGACAACGAGGGCGAGGGCGTAGACAACGAGGTCCATGGATGGCCCCGCGTCTACATAGAGGAAGGCTGCACTCGCCCCCGCCCACAGCACTGCACCCAGGCTGAACGCCACCCTCATGCGGCTCATGTCCCAATGTAGCTCCTGTGAGAGGGAGAAGAGGATGGATGGGGTCGGGGGTGGGGGACGAGGGAAGGGGAAGGACTTGAAAAGAGTGGGGAGGAAGGAGATGGGAAGAGAAGGGCGCAGATACATTGGGCGAGGCGGGAATTGAGGGATGATGGGAAGTGGGGGTTGGGAGAATGATGGGATGAGTGAGAGTGAGAGTGAGAGTGAGAGTGAGAGTGAGTGAGGCGGGATAACTTGAAGCGGAGTGAGATGAGTGAGAGGTGGTGAGAGGTGTTACCTGGAGCACGACGGAAGTGATGAAGCTGCAGATGAAGATGAGCGCTGGGATCTGATGGGCGCGCAGTGGCGGAGAAAAGGGGCAAGGGGAAGGGGAGGAGAGCGGAATATGGAGAGAGGGGGGAGGAGAATTGAAGGAGAGCGACGAATGAGCGCTGCGATATGACGGCGTGTGGCATGGTGTAGAGAGAGGGCAGGGAGAAAGGGAGAGGGGAGGGCATGTGGAGGAGAAATGAATGAGCGTCAGCAGGCAGTGAGAACAGACAGTGAGAACAGCAGGAGATGCAGTTTCCATGGGCGCAGGCAGGGCGGAGGTGGGCGAGGAGGAGTCTCACGGTGGCTTTGGCGGAGGGGTGCAGACCCAGGTCGAATATGAGGAAGAATGGCAGCATGGCCTGGGGGGAGGGGGGAGGAATTGTTGAGGGGAGGGAGGGAAGAAGTGGGGAGGGAGAGAGAAAAGGCGGTATAGGACTGGAGTGTGAGATCAGTGTTGTGTGCGCTACATATTTCTGTTACTTGAGTAACATTGCTTTTACCTAAAGGCATTATTGCTGAACTGATAAAAATACTTCCTGACCTGGATAATACTTCATGATGGCAAATATTGTTGTTCTCTTCCTGATTTGGGACATATTATAGCTTACTTCCTAACTTGGGACAAATTCTTGTTTCCTTGCTGACCTGGGAGACGTTGGTGATGAGTCGCACGAACATGTAGACAGCCGCCACCTGGAAGTATGCCAGCTGGCGGAACCAAAAGAGCCACGCTGGCACTGCCTTCTCCTCCGCCGCCTCTGATTGGCCGTTCTTGGCTGCCCACTGCTGTGATTGGTCGGTGCTGTCGTCGGCGGATTGGTCGGTGCAGAAGGAGCGGGAGGAGGGCAGACGCACTGGCACACGGGACACGCTGGGAGATGGAGAGGGGGGCGAGGCAGGAGGGACAGGAGACGCAGGAGGAGCAGGAGGGGCAGTGGAAGGAAGGAGATGTGAAGGGCAACAGCAGCAGGATACAAGCTCCGTGGTCAATGAAATTCACGGAGGATGGTCAAGGGACGGCTTGGTACTGGTGCACGCACAGGGATGCACCCACAGAAGGGCGTGTGGCCATTGACGCAGCACGGCGTGGCACTCACGTGGGCTCGCGCACCCCCGCGTAGAAGATGAGCAGGAAGGCAGCGCCCGAGGTGAGCGCCACAAACGAGATCCACCGGTACTGCGCCTGCACCTGTGCACGCACGGGGAGGGGTGGAGGAGGGGAAGTCGAGGGGACAGGTGGGAGGGCGCGTGGAGTGAGGAAGGGGCGGGGGGGGTGGGGAAGATCCACCGGTATTGCACTTGCACCTGCACCTGCACCTGCAAACGGGTGAGGAACGTCAGGGTGGTGTCTGTACGTGGGAGAGTGAGTGGGCACCTGGGAGGGAAAGAGAGCACCTAAGAGGGCGAGGAGCACCTGAGAAGGCGACTGGGCACCTGGGCGGGGTCATGGGCACCTGGGAAGATTGGTGGGCAGCTGGGAGGGCGAGTGGGTACCTGGGCAGGGTGGTGGGCGGGGAAGAGGGAGAAGGCGGCGAGGGCGATGGCGAAGAGGGCGAGGTTGGCGAGCATGGTGAAGGCGTTGCGACAGCTGTTCATCGCCACGCGGCTGCTGGGGTTGCCTGTCAGACAGTTCACCATCGCCCTGTGGTAGGAGAGATTGGGGGAATGGGAGCAGGGGGGGGAGGAAGAGGGCGGAGAAGGGCAGGGTATGGATGTGTGTAAGGGGGCAATGCAGGTGCTGAGGGGGAGAACGAGGGGATGCATGGGGGTGTGGGTGTGATGGGAGAGGGAGGCAGTGGATGTGTGTATGAGAGGGATAAAGTGGGAGGGCGAAAGTGCGCAGGGGTGCTTTCGAGAACTGAATTTCTGCACTCGCATGCTCACACAGCATTGGCAGCTCGCCCCTAAGCCCTGGCCAGCAAGCCAGCCACGCTCACTTGTGTGGCACACCTGCCTGCCCCAATCACTCACATGTGAGACACCTGGGTAGCGGCCCAGCCGCAGTTGAAGACGGCAGCAAAGACGCTGTAGCTGGCGGTTTCAACGAGCGTGGAGTTGGAGGCGAGCAGGCGGCACACGAGGCAGCCTCCAAACACGGAGGAGAAGGACACCACTGTGCACACCGACCCGCCCAAGTGCCACAGCTTGTAGTGCCCGAACTGGTCGATCTGAGGGGGTTGCGAAGGACAGTGCGATCGGGGGAAGAAGCCGTCGTCTAATGCCCACAAACGCATTGTGTTCTTGCTGCTGCAAACGTCTTTTGTAGAGACCATGAGTCTGGGAAGACAAGGGTTGTTGGCGTGATTTCCACCTTTATTACACAAGATGGGAATGCTCTTCACTGTGGCACATCGTTCAGGGCTGTTTTGTCTCATATTCCCACCTGTTACGCCCACTGCTCCTGTCCACCCATGTTCCCAATGCTACCATCAACACTACGTTCCCCATGCCTACCATTGCTCCCACTCCCATGCGTCTCGCTCACCAGCTCGCCGGCGACGAGGGTGGCAGCAGCATCGGCGAATTGGCCCGACAGCATCACCACGCCCGCCTGCCTGCACGCGCGCCCGTGGACCCGGGGATCATGAACCAGCGAGGGGCGAGGCGGGGACAGGGGTAAGACGAGAGCGAGGAGGGAGAGGAAAACGAGAGGAAGGGAGATGTCAGTGGCAATTTCGGTGAATAGAACGGCTAACTAAGATTCATCCAAATGTGCCACCAATTCAAACACGAATTGTAACATTCAGGTGCATTCCAGGCACCCAAGCTCACTACCAGTCGCTCGCATAAATCTGAAAGCTATTCTTCAGAGTGGAAGGGAGCTATTGATCCTGTGAGCAATTTCCGCTTCAGACCGACTCTCAACCGTCCCTCATGACAGACCAATGCTGACTTACTGACAGTAGGTCGTACTTAGAGGAATCAGATGCACGTGATTATTTGGAAGGCCAGTACCGCGTACGTACAAGGGCGACCGAAACGACGCATTGCGGGGAGAGGGCGTGGGGACGTACTGCGGGGAGAGGCCGATGTCGGAGAGGTAGATGAGGAGGTATGTGAACCAGCACGCGGCCGTGATGTCGTTCAGCATGTGCCCCGTACCGTACGCCACCACCTGCCACCGCGGTAACGGCCGCTGGCAAGGGCCCAGCGGCAGCACCGCGTCGCTTCCCGTGGAGCCTCGGCTGAGCGATGGTTCTAGAACCGGGAGATAACCGTCCTGCTGGGGATCTTCGCCGCCGTTTGCGGCTACTTTTACGGCATCATTTCCGTTGGTTAGCAGAGGAACGACTATGGAGACTTCTGAAGTGGAATCGCGTTGCGACGAAGACGGACCCATTTGCGCTGGACGGAGAGACTGTACGATGTGATCCGCAGCTAACAGACAGCAAATCGTCGTAAGAGTTACTAAATTGACCACGGATCGACCTAATGCAGACTAATGAATTTCTATAGCGAGAAGAAGAAAGCCTAAGAAGGTCGCGAGAATTGCTGTTGCGAAGGAAAACAGGTCGGAAACTTCACAAACAACCCAATTCAATGCGTGCTGGCGTAATCCTGCCAGACGGGAATGCGAATACTGTAGCTTGCATTTCCATATTGCGTTGGAAGCACACGTCAGATGAATCAGCCATGGCCGCCGAACCAACCAGCCACGAAATTCGCAGTGCTGCTTTCCAGCTTCTCAGACCGCGTCTGCTGGCATCGTCCAGCGCAGATAGGAGCTTGAGGTGCACACGCGCGTGGAGGCAGCAAATGGCCGCACTGGGTGGAGAGAGAGAGAGCAAGCTAGAGTCTACAAGCGACTGGTGGAGGTGAGTGCGGAGCATCCAGACGGACCGTTGGACCTTGGGATTTGTTTGGGCCTTGCCTTGCCTGCTCCTCGCTTCACTCGCTTCGCGTATTTCACAGGAGAGGAGAGGAGAGTGATTGCAGGACGCAGCAAGTACGATTTGTTCCGGAGCTGTCGAGGGAATGACGAACCACCCTGGTTTTGGGTTTCCGATTTCTTTCGGCAGTGGTTTTGACACCGTCTTGCTTTGCGCTCGAGTCCGATACCTTCGGTCAGTTATTTTCGCTATTGCTCCTTTTCAAGTCCAGAGACTAATATTTTATTTATTTATCAGGATATCATAAATTGGATTGTCGCGTCAATTACGAGAAGCTCGGGACAACAAATATTAACCCCTCATGGAGGGCATGCCATTTGGGAGGCATCAGCCCTAAACACTATGAGGCAAGGTGTTTAGGATTGATGCCTCCCAAATGGCCAGCCATCCGAGAGGGGTTTATTGTTTCCACTGGCCACTAAACTGAAACCAGGTAACTTCAGAATTTTTCTGGTCGCAAAAAATTGGAAATGTCGAAATCAGCTGCCCCAAGGAATCGGACGTGAGCGGAGAAGCGAGGCGGTGTCAAAGCCAATGCTAAAAGGAATCAGAAATTTGAAAACAGAGTGATCCGTCATTTCCTCGGAGCTGTCTGATGATACTGTTGAACCCAGCCAGTCATTCTCGCCAGTTACATCTGCCGTTGCCGTGCTGCCCGTACGCCACACCGTACAGGAATACAATTGGCGGTCGTACTCCTGGATTGACTCGAGTACCAATCATCGTGACGGAAATCGCCCATTGCTGGGAAGGTAAGGCAATGGTCGGATCATGAAACGTGGCGCAACCAAGAACCCAGGAGATGACTTGTGATGGATGGACATTGGACACTCGTACTTAGGGTGGAACGGAGATATCGAGGACCAAGTGTAGAATTTCCATATCGCGTGGTCTTCTGAGTTCAGCGAGCTGTTACTACAAAGCATTTGACAACAAATTATTGAAGCAAACAGGAGCCCCATATGTACAAACAGGCCATCAGATATCAGCATAAAACACGCTGATTAGGCTGAATTTGTAGCTGTGATTTTCCTTTTCCCTAAAATTTCAGTATCTTCTTTAGGTTTGCACCGATTTTTCAGTTGAAGTATAGGACCAGCCTGACTAATTAGTGTTTAGGTGTACCAGTAACACTGAAGCATCAGTATAGTGTACCGAGTCACACTGATTCGGACTTACCAAAATGTATCGGGTACAGGAAATGGTGTGCGCGTACATGGGGCTTTAGGCCCAAAAGCCCCGCTGTGCACTACTGAACCACACAGATACGGGATTTAAACCTGGAACCTTTTGGAAACAGGGCGAAACCTTAGCAACTACGCTAGTGGTCTGACCAGTGTTCAAATTGATTTTATTCACTCATTAAACTTAACCCCCAATGCTGATTTGGTCAAGAATTCGGGCAGGGCACGCTGATCCATCAGCATGCCCTGAAACCAATCTGAGGGCCTGGGTGCAAAGTTGTTAACCTTCCTGCCACACACCACAAACTGAAACTCTCGAACATCTGATAAGATAAAACAACACAAATATTTAACCATGGGAAACAAACCATTGAAGAACTGGAGCACACAACGATCCACCTAGATACGGACTGGGCATACCAACAAAAATTGTAGACTCATCTAAGCAGTTTTCGACCAAAAGGCATCCACTTCAATGGTGATGATGGTGGTGATGCCGAGACTTCTCCCCCACTCCTGCACTGCTCCCACTAGCCACGCCCGACCTACTCCGATGCGTCGAGTGCCCTCCTGTGGCCGTGCGAGTGCGCGACGAATGGTGAGCCCCACTGCTCGACCCATGGTGCGTCCTGTGGTGACCATCCTTCGACCCCCCTCCACTCGCCGACCCGCTCATCCCTCCCGTCGCAGCCTTCCGGAGCCCACTGCTGCTGCTCCCGCCAGTGCGGTGCCGTGAGGTGCTGGTACCAACGGTGCGGGAGGCAGAGCGCGAAGAGTGCCCGTGGTGCAGCTGGGGCGCGCCGGCCCCGCGCGATTTGAGCGGGTCGGAGAGCGCGTCGCGAGACGAGGGCGTCTTGATAGGGCGCTGGTTCAGGTACAGCAGCTGCGGCAGCAGGCCTGGGGGGCACATAGGGGAGGAGGGGAGGGGAGGGGAAAGGAGGGGAAGGGAGGGAATGGGCAAGAGATGCTCACAGATATGAGACAGCCAACCAGATTCACGCACGAACAGCCCGAGCAGACACAAGCATCAGCATGCACGAGCCCATCCACCCACCGAACCAACAGCACCCAACGCACCAATGAGGTAGCGCTTGAACGCATCGTCCCCCAGGTTCACATGAATGGGGTTTCCCGCGAGGTTGAGCGCGCGCAGCGAGGCGTAGTTAGCGGCGAGCTGGCCGAGGGCCTTGGTGGTGGTGACCTTGTTGGCGCCCAGGTCCAGCACGGTGAGCTTGAGCAGGCGGTGCAGCCCCTCCACCTCCCCCACCCTGTTGCCCGCCAGGTACAGCTCCCTCAACGCCACACACCCCGACAGCCCTGGGAGATGGGAATGAGGGGCGGGGGTTGGAGGAGAGCAGGGAGGATGTGAGGGGGGAAGAGAAAAGGGAGTGTTAAAAGACGGGTTAGGGGGGGCAACGGACTCGAACATCCATCTCGCGTCCACCGATCCCAAGCACCATCTCATCCCTACCTCTTTGTGTGACCCCCCATGCCCTCTGCACACAGCATTCTGCCCACTCTCTCAGAGCAGCCCTTCCTGTCCCCTGGACGCGCCGTGCTGCCCACTCCCTTTGCACAACCTCCCCTTTCCCACACGCCAATGACCCTGCACGCGCAATGCAGCCCCCTCCCTTTGCGCAGCCCCCCCGTTCCCATACACCAATGACCCCCAGCACCCACCGTGGCCGATGCGGGCGAGGCGGTTGTTGGAGAGGTTGGGCACCTTGAGGCGCAAGAGCTCTCGGAGCCCCTCCCTCAGATGCCTTAAGAATGCAACCTATCGCACCCCATTCACCCCACACACCATGCTGCCCACCCCCTGTCCCCGTACACGCACCATGGCCGATGCGGGCGAGGCGGTTGTTGGAGAGGTTGAGCACCTTGAGGCGCGAGAGCTCTCGCAGCCCCTCCACGGCGGCCAGGCGGTTGTGTGACAGGTCCAGGATGTGCAGTGACCGCGGCAGCACTCCTGTTGCCACCGACGCTGCCCAGATGGACCACGGCAGGGAGTGGGGTTAGGAAATCAGGGGGTGAGTGGTATATTTGAATCTAGCTTGCCAGGATAGATGAAGATTGTGGTATATTGTGTGTTTAATTCAACGCTTGCACACGTGTGTTCCAAGACATCTGTGCACAACCAACCCCCCATTGGTCCCTTAAAGGTCCATCACCATGGAATCCTTCCTCAACCAATCCGTTTTTGCTCCTTACCATCCCACGGCGAGGGCATTGTATATCTATGCCCTTTTCAACGCCTTTTCTTTGAAAGAGGTACCAAGCCCTAATCGACAGTCTAAGGTTTGAGGAATTCTGGGAGTGAGTGGTGTGGGTGGGAGCAGTGCGTTGAGTGGGGTAGGAAGAGACGAAAAGCAGTGTTGTGGTAAAAGACTAGGGGTTGCGACGCAATGCAAGAAGGAAAACGTTGAAAGAACCCCGTGGATAGGAGGGAAGGCCAGTTTGCAAGCAGCACACACACGAGGGGATGGGGGGGTGGAAGGGAGGGTTGGCAGGGAGGGGGGATGGCAAGTTTGCACACGCAGAGCAGCGTGCACGCCGCACACCCCACTCACTGATGTTGTTGCGAGACAGGTCGAGCGTCTTGAGCGACGAGAACGCCCCCAGCGGCGGGACCACGAGCAGCCCGCGCATGGACAGGTACACGGCCGCCGCGTGCTTGTCCAGCCCGCGCACCACCCTCCCCGCATGCTCCGCCGCCGCCGCCGCCCCCACCACCACCGCCGCCTGCAGGTTCCCCGCTGCCGCCGCGCCCCCCCCATGCATGTGCCCGTGCGACATGGAGCGCTTGCTCATGCCGCTGGAGGAATGGTGGTGGTGGTGGTGGTGGTGAGGCGCAGGGGGGGAATGGGGCGGGAGCAGCGCACTGCTGCTGCTGCCGGCGCTGCCGCCCTTGCTGCTGCCGATGCTGCTCCAGTGCTCGATGCTCTCAGACGGCTCCCACTGCCCGCGCGGGAGGCAGCGCACCCACGCCTCCACGCGCGGCATGCCCGCCAGCCACATCGCCGTCATCTCCCCCGCCTTCCCCGCCTCCTTCGCCTCTTCTCCCGCCGCACCTGCCGTTTTCCCAGCGGAAATCGCTCCGCCAATGCCCTCCCCCGCGCCTATGACTCCCACGCCTGCGCTTCCTTCCGCTGCGGAGAGCTGCACGTCCCCCAGCTCTGGCATAGACTGCACGTCCGCCGCAACCGCGTCCGCGCCGACTGCGGCTGCGCCGACGGGGGAAGATGCGCCTGTGGGCGGACAGGCAAGGAGGAGGTCCCCCGTCGTGCGGATGCGCGGAAGAAGCATGTCGGAGCGGGGCTCAGTCCGCCCCGCCTGGTCGCTGGTTGCGCCCTCACTGGCTGCGGAATCCCCCGCGCCAACGTTCTCTACGGCGGGGATGGCGGAAGCGCCCCGCTGCGGAAGGCCATCCACGCCCCCGGCATCGACGGCGGACGGGCCCAGGGAAAACGGCTCTTCTCCCCCTCTTGGCGCTTCCGCTTCCTCCGCCTCCGGACTGAAGTACATTTCCGCCCGTGCGGCGCGAATCTCCTCCCGCGCATCCCGCGCAGCCTCCTGCGCAGCCTCCTCCTCCGCCTCCTCGTCCCATGGGAGCACTGACAGCGGCCCGGACACCCCCAGCTGCAGGTGATCCAAGAGCAGCGCCGTGTCGGAATGCGCGGACGCCTGGCTCCGCGTATCGTCGTCGGCTTCCGCCTCGCCCCCGCTCCCCGCCTCCCCTTCCGCCACCGCCTGCGCTTCCGCCCAGTCGTCCTTCATGTTCTCGAGGTGCCCCGTCATGTTGTGCCACATTGTACCGTACTCCGCCGCGTGCGCCGACTCCGCGTCGTCCGCGTGCTGCCCGTCCGCGCTGCCGTCCTGCGGAAGCGACGTGCGCCAGAACTGGAACCCCATGACGTCATCACTCCCGTGACGGTTATCGTTATCGTCATCGTCATCATAGTCTCCATCCACGACGAATCTGTCAGCTCCCATCCCATCCCGATAACCACACGCATCGTCCCTACCCTCCTCAGACTTCCCCCTCTCGTCCCTCTCTTCCCCCTCGTCTTCCGCGTCCCCGTCTGCGCGCATCTTACCGCGGTCGCCGCCGGGTTGCAGTCCGCCGTGCGCCTCGAACATGTGCGCATATTCGTCGTGCTCCATCGTCGTGCGACTGCGACTCCAAAGCGCGACATTCTCCACCGACGCGTCGCTTAACGACGTGCGCTTCTCCGCCTCCTCGTGCGCCATCTCCGCGTCCCCGCGACCCTCCCCAGGAGAACCATCGAGATCTCCGGCGGTAGGGCTGACCGGCGTCGTGTGCGAATAGTTGGACTTGTTCGCGACGTCGTCGTCAGGGTTGCACCATCGCATCGCCTGCGACAGCGCCGTGTCGTTCGCGGACTCCTGCTGGAAATAAACACCCGGGTCGCTCAAGTGGTCCATCATCCCGTCATCTTCCGCCTCCTCCACGTCAGCATGGAATGCCTCGTCGTGTCGCCCCATACGCTCGTCGTCCTGATGTCCGCCTACGATCCGCGGATCTGCGACCGCCACTTCCACCTCCCCTCCGCTCGCCATGGCCTCACCCACCGACCGTGTATCTCCCCTCCCCGTGCCGCGTCACCTTGCCGTCACCCAGCCCTCCCGCGACGACCGGCGAAACCCCGACCACCACCCCGACCACGCTTCCGCAAATCTCGCCGCTAACGGTGAGAACTCGAGCACCAGGGCCGATTCGGCTCCAGGACAGGCAGGCGAGTGGATCCCGGCCTGCTCGCGCGGCGAACTCGCGGGCACGCGGCATCAACGTGCTCTGCACCCCTCGCAGGAGCTCGCGCCCAGCCAGATCGCCAACCATCCAGCGACGCTCGCTCCTAAGGAGCACTTATTAACGCCTAGCGTGCAACAGAAGCTAACGACCAACAAGGCTAAGGACTACTACCGAGGGTGGACGGACTAAGCAGTTACAAGTGGTTTATCTGATGGTCTCAAGGAAATAATGCATCCGAGAATCCGAGGCTGTGCTGGTGAGAGTCATGAATCCATCGCGTGCTGGATGGAGGTCATTTCATGAATCCGTGACAGGGTTCATCCTGTTGTCATCGATGGACTCACACTCGCTGCTGGGGTTCCAGCGATGTTGGTTCGCCGCCGCTGCCTTGCACCTTGGGAATGCCGAGTTTCCTGGCGTGTGACTTTGCTCCGTCAGCTCGGGCGGAGTTTCGGCTGGCTGACAGTCCCCGTGTGCGCTGTTCGATGGTCTGCGCCGCTCTGGCGGCTGTCGGGCAAATTGATTGTGGGTGCCCAAACGGCCATTCTGCGCAACCTTGGGACTAATATGAGTTCATTCCCTCACTCGGGAATCCGCGTTACGGAAGAGTCCAGAAACACCTGCAGGATCTTCTGGTTATCTACTTCGCAATAAATAGCATACATGCATTTCACACTTAAAAGGGGACTGAGCAAGTGCTCAAGAATTCGAGTATCTTAACTTGACTGACTGCTTTCTTTGCGCCAAAGCCCTCATGACACTACGGAACACCCCGGATGAAGCCACATCACGTGCCAACTCGCCTTGCTCCTTATCAAGGATCCTAGAAAAGGGATTGTACTGCAAACTTGCCCATACGAAGTGCACCCACAATCGCCGCAGAGCAGCTTGCTTGAGAGCAAGCTCTTGTGGAGGGATGCTGGTGAGGATCCCGTGGAGGTGGGGAATGTCTGAAGGAGTCAGCCTCACTGAGAAGTCGTCCCAGTCCAAAAAACCATCACCTTCAAAAGGCATGCTCACATTGGGCTGGGACGGAAGAGGGGAAGGGGGGGGAGTGGGGAGTGAGAAATATAATTTAGGCAAAGTCACAGGGATGACATTAAATTGGAATAAAGAAGTTGTTTGTGAGCTGGAAAAGAAAGGACATCTCACCTATATTATCACTGGGATGCATCCGAGTGTCACCGCCTGAGTGGCCGTCTCGTCAGCACCCCACCCGCCAGCCACCAGACAGAACACCGACCGAGCCATCCGCTCCAAGTACCCTCCTCCCCCCATCTCCCCTCCCACTCCTACTTGCCCCTCCCCGAAATCCCCCTCCCCCGGTGTGCGTTCTATGACAAACCCCTTGGGCATAGCAGCAGCGGAGTCAAGCGAGTCAAACCAGTCAAACAGGGCCTGTCGCACCCCAAACGAGTAGTTAAAGCCCAACACCGGCTCCACGTCCCGCCCATCAAACCCACGGAAGAAGAAGAAAATATCCCGCCCACGAGAGTGCACGTCTTCTCCTTGAACGCCCATGGCCACCTCATACACCTCGGGCAGCAGAACGGGCGGGATAACAACATCCTGCCCGGGAATGAAGCAGCCAGGCAGGGCGGCATCGAGCGGCATGTTCCCGGAGTACCCCCACAGCGACAGCACTGTGCTGCGCGCCAGCATCGGGTCTCGCCGCCCGGCCTCGCCGACCTCGCACGCCGCCCAGTCATCATTGGCAAGGAAGACGTGGTCGGCGCCAGCATGGCGGTCCCAGTAGGGCCACGCGTCCCTTATGTGCTCGATGGCCCATGACAGCACACTCTGCTTTGCTGTGCCTCGGTGCCTGTGGAAGGGCAGGGAGGAGGCGACGCAAGTATGGGGAGTGGGCTATCAATGTGCAGGTTTGAGGTGCATGTTGGAGGTGCAGGTTTGAGGTGCAGGTTTACGGTGCAGGTTTGAGGAGCAGGTTTGAAGTGCAGGTTGGAGGTGCAGGTTTGAGGTGCAGGTTTGAGGAGCAGGTTTGAGGTGAAGGTTTGAGGAGCAGGTTTGAGGTGCATCCACCTGGAAGGTCAAAGTAGCTGTTCTCACGCAACTCAGGATGTCACACACACTACTTATAAGGTGCGACAAGGTACAGATTGGACGCTGACTAGACGCTGATTTTATTCTGAATGGGCGCCGACTGAATGCCAACTCACCGCAGCAGCAGGGGCACGTAGAATAGGTCAGCCTCCTCAGGATCAGCAGTGCGCCATGCTGACGTCAGCAGCGCGTCCAGAAACACATACCCCTCCCACCGCCCCCTCCCCGCCCCCAGCACGCCCTGCCACGTGTTCAAGTACCCGGGCAGCTCGTACACAAAGATTTTCGGCCGGGCAGCAGAGACAAGCATAGGGGAGGGTGGTGGGACAGCGTCAGTCCAGAGGAAGGGTCGTCTGCGGTGCAGAGTGGTGGCACCGTGGGCGTCGAGGGAGAGTGCACAGTCAATGCCAAACGTACCCCTCGCACACTTGCACACTCCCTCCACACACTCGCCACCCACTCCTTTCCCCCCACCTTGCTCCCCATCCCCGTCCCCTGCATACTCCCCCTCCCCCTCCCCCTCCGCCTTCAAGCTGTGAGCGCCACAGGCCCCGAAGCAGTCAAAGGGCAGCCGGCCCGGCTGCTCACAGCCAGCACCTGAGTAGAGCGCAGGGCAGCTGGTGGGGGGCAGCATGAAAGACGGGGAAGGACAGGAGGAGAGGGGAGTTTGAGACGTGCTGAATGGGATGAACGGGAGGGGGGGGTCATTCAGCCCGGGTGCTCACAGCCGGTGGGACACAGCCCGAGCGCAGGCGAGCTGGGGGGTGGGCGAGTGGTGGCGGGATAAGGGGACGGGGAGGGGGGAGTTTGAGACGAGTGGACAGGGGACAAGGGAACGAATGGGAGGAGCCATCCGGGTGCTGAGAGCTATGGCGAGAGTACAGTGCGGGGCATGTGAGGGCAATCACGCCACCAATCACTCACATGCACGTCAGGCTGCCTCTGTCACACACGCCAACGCCCGAGCAGTTGTACGGGCACTCGTGCGGCGCCCCAAAACCCCCTCCGTCCTCCTCCCTCCCCTCCCCCTCCCCCCCGCCCCCTCCCCGCACTGTCTCTCCCGGCCCCACCTCATTCCCCCGCCCATCCAGCACCAGCGCCACCTGCCTCTGCTCATACAGACTCCCCACGTCCACCCACGGCCCGCGCCTTCCTGGAAAGTCACCCCATGCTTCCTCTTCCTTGACCTTGGGCTCATCGTCGCCTTCCTGCCCCTCCTCCCCCTCCCCTCCCGCCTCCTTTCCTGCCACCCCTGCTTGCCCGGCAGTCGTGTCTGTTGTGCTGTTGCTGCCCTTGATCCAGCCAATCAGAGCGTCTCTCACCCTACCACCGCGAGCCGCCACAGCAGTCAAAAAGGAAGAGGAATTGCCCGCACTGCTGCTTTTGACACCACCACCACCAGCACCGGCACCAGCACCAGCACCACTAGCAGCACCACTACCAGCAGCAGCAGCACCGTTAGCAACAGCAGCAGCAGCAGCAGTGGTATCATTCCCCCCCATGAGCGCCCCACTCTCATCAAAGCACTCTGGCAGATGCTCCAGGCGGTACCGATCGCACTCCCTCACGCACGCACACGATGTCGCCACGTGGCACGGCGTCCACACGTCCGGCGCCAGCTGGCAGCTGGGCATGGCCAACACGTGGCAGTGCTTGCCTGTGAAGCCAGGCACACAGTGACACGTGGCAGTGGCCTCGTTGCACGTTCCCCGTAGAAATCAGAGGGAGGAGCAGTTGGAGGGGGGCGACGAGGAGGAGAGGGAGGAGGAACGGGAGGAGGGGAGGGAGGGCTGGAGAGAATTTGCCCGACTATGAGGGAGTGATTGTGACGATGGCAGCAATGACACCGAATGCAACTGGTTCGTGGAACCACCTCTTCCACCCTCCCCACTCTCCCCGCCCTCCTCTCCCTTGCTTTCCCCCTCCCCCTCTTCCTCTTCCACCACCACTCCCCCAACCGTGTACCATCTCTTCCCCCCACCCCCCCTCCCTTTCCCCCACGCTCCTCCCCCTCGCCCCACCCACCCACCCCCCTGCCTGTACCCCCCTGCTTCCCCACCCCCCGCCATCTTGCTTGCTCGGGAAAACACAACGCTGGGTCCCCCACCAGGTCCCACCTGCCCCCCTGCCGCTGGCAGCGTCACCATCCCCTGCACAGCCGAAACTTCAGCTGCCTGAACCCGCCGCCCGAGAGCAGCCATGACGGACGAGAAAGCATCCGAGGAGGCGAGCAGCGGGCGCAGCTTCTTCTGCAGATACAGCAGACTGGAGGGCGTGGGGGGGGCGGAGGAGGCGGAGGAGGCGAAGGAGGAAGAAGAGGAGGAAGAGGAGTAGGAGGAGGGGGGGGGCGAGAGGGGGCTGTAGAGCGGCGAGGCCCAGAGCAGGCCGGGCCAGGCGGCCTTCATGGCAGTGCGGCGCCGAGCCACCTCTTCTGGGGTAATGCCTCGGAGAATCTCCGGGAGCTCTGGCAGCTGGTGGGGGGCCAGGAAGAGCGCCAGGGACGGCCAGTGGATGGCACCGCCTGCTGCTGCATCCCTGCCAGCAGTGGCGCTGGCATGGGTGTCATAGCCGGGGAGAAACTCTGTGCTGGCCAAGGGCTGCTATGTGTGGGGCTGGACTATCACTGGGATGCACCCGAGGAGCACCGCCCGTGCTACAGTGTCACTGTAGCCCGTGGGGGGCGTGGGTGCAAAGCAGAACTGCGCCCTCAGCATGGCGTCACTCACTGCGCTCTCCTCTCTGCCCGTCTCCCCTTCCTCTTCCTCCCCCTCCCCTTCCACCCCTGCTTTCCCTGCCTCCTCCCAGTCCCCATCTTGCCCATCCTGCACTGCCCCCCTGCCTGGTGCGCCCAGGTGCATGATGCGGAACCCTACCTGCAGCTGCCGGTGGGAGAAGAGCTGTAGGAACCGTGCACCTATACTCGATACAGGCTCATTCGCTACAAGCCCCCCAGCCAACGACGAAGCAGCAGGTGAGTCCCTGTGTGCCGCACCCCAGCCTCCTCCAGGCTTACCCACCCATTCGCCTCCTCCCCTCCCATCCCCATCTCTCATACTCACCCCACCCCGTGCGCTCCACCCCCCTTCTGCTTCTCCTGCGCCCATTTTCCCCCCTGCCCCTGCCCCTGCCCCTGTCGCTGCCGCTGCCCCTCCGCTACCCCCCGCCCTCCTAACAACGAAGAGCAGGAGAGTGTTGCGGTCGGGGGTGCCTTCAAGGGGCTCGCGCACAAAGGGAGAGGCGAGCACCACGGAGGGGGGCAGCAGCGGGGGGATCACCACGTCCTGCCCGGGAATGAAGCACTGCCCTCCACGCCCCTGCTGCTCCCCCTGCTGCTGCATCTGCGCCCCTCTCCCTCTGTTTGCCTCGCCCATCCTGCCCTCCGATCCCCCCCACCCTCCCGCCCCGCCTGCTGCTCCCCCATACCCGCTGGGCGTGAGCACCACAGCTCGCTCCAGCCTCGAATGCCTCTGCAGCACCATCCGGCCCCCCTCAGCCGCCACCATTCCCACTCTCCCCTCGCCATGCTCATTTGCCCGCGATTCCTGGTGGTCGAGGGAGGAGCGATGGGGCAGATGGAGAAAGAAGGGAGCGAGGTAAGGACAGGGAGAGGGAAAGGGTGCACGGCCCACAGCCTGCACCTGCAGCTGTTGTTCTTCTTGAGATTCAGTCCGTCAATTCAGAATGTCACAACTGCCACCTGGTTACCACTGCCACACCTCACCTGGTTACCAGCGGCACATAGAAATAGTCCGCCTGTTCCCCATCCGCTGTGCGTCTGCCATCCGCAAGCAGCCTCTCCAGGAACACCACCCCCTCGGGGCGATCCAGCGCGCCCGACTGCTCCCACTGCCACGTGTTCAGCTCCGGAGGCAGCTCGTACACGTAGATTTTTGGGGTGAAATTCTTGTCTTGTAGCGCCGACCGGAAGGGCGGGGACTGGGGCGGCCATCTGAAGGTGGGGTTGGAGAGAACACTGGGCGGGGAACGAGGAAGGAGCAGGGGTGGGTAGGCGTGTGTGAGAGGGGCAAAGGGGGGTGGAAGGACGAAGGGAGGAGGAGTAGGAATTTCAGGGAGACAGCAAGAGGCAGCAAGGGTGAGAGGATGAAAGGTTGAGAGGGTGAGAGGCAGTGCGAGGCAGCTCATCTCAGCGATGCCCCTCACCCTCACCTTATATTGCCAGTGCTGGGATCCACCGACAGTGAGCAATCAATGCCGAAGCTGCCAGCCTGGCACGTGCAGATGCCACCGTCGCACCTGCCGCGCCCACTGCACGCGTTCACACACCGCACGCCCCCTGCGCGCTCCTCCTCGCACCCCGGCCCCGAGTAGCGCCACGCGCAGCTGGTGTGGAAGGCGGGGAAGGAGGAAGAGAAAGAGGGAGGGCGGAAAAGAGGGAGAGGTGAAGTGGGGGGGGCAACAGAGGGAGCAGAGTGATTGCTCTACACTTGCGTTTCGAAAAAAAAAAGGACGAAGAGGGATCATAAGATGGGGCTGATAGGACATGGGGGGACGGCGGGCACGCACTCGCACGTCTTGGACGCGTCACGGCACAGCCCGCGACCAGAGCACCCCAGGGGGCATTCCCGCGGGTCTGTGTATCGCTTCCGCAACTGCCACGTGTATTGCGCCCACACCTGCTTCTGCGCTCCGCCCGCCACCCGCCCGCGCGCTGCCTGTGTTCTCCCCCCTGAATCCGTTCCCCCCGCGCCAGCAGCGCTTCCCCAGTCGCTCCGCGCGCCTCCTGACGGCATGTCCCTTGCGCCCGCTCCTTTCCACCGCACGTTGCGCCCCCCGTCCCATCTCCGCGAGCTCTTGCGCAGCGCGGGGAGATCGTTGCTGTGCGATCTGCTAGGGCCGCGTGGACCGCTGGAAGCTCCCCCAGACACTATGGCGGATGAAACCGCGCCGTTCCCTGCGCCATTCTGCGCTTCCCCCTCCGTCATCCCCGGGTTCGTCCATTCCGACTCACCCCCCCCTTCCGCTGCGCCGACTGTCAGAACCTCCGCGCGGAAGATGTCCGCCAGCGAGCGTGGCGGAATAGCGGAGGCGTTGTGGGAGGCGTTGAAGCACACCGCGCCGGGGCCGATGAGATGAAACGCGCGGCACTCGCGCGCGCACGCGCATGTGGAGGGGAACGCGCACGGCGTGCGGAAGCCCGGCGCAAGCTGGCAGGAGGGGAAGGCGTCGGCCTCGCACGCATCGCCCGTGAACCCCGCGGGGCAGTCGCAGCGACCGAGTTCCTCGTTGCACGTGCCGCGGCGCGAGCAGCGCTTCGAGCAGCGCGATCTGAATTGGGGACTCCATCGGCTGGCAGCGCGCGAGGAGAAAAAGCCGTCTTCATCACGGCCGTCCGTAAGAGCTAATCTTGTCTGATCGATGACTGCAAAAAGAGCGAGGAGAAAAGCGACGGCGAGGATGGCAAGGCGGGAGAAACGGCGTAGGCGGGTAGGGGAGGTGCGGGCCCACTTAGAAGTTTTTGCGGAGACTGGTGACGGCGGAAGGCTAACCTTCTTATTGCGAAGCAAATGATTACTATCTTCTGACTGCCGGGACCATCTAAGGCGAAACAACCGCGACGTGAAGCTAGATACCCCGCGTCGCCATTCTGAGCCACGCGGACCTGCTGTGCTAGTCAACGTGAGTCGCGTGGGAGCGCAGACTACGTGGTACTTAGAGTCCATCATCTAGTTACTTCTTCCTGGAGTGCATGAGGGCCTATGTCAGTGACCGAAATCTCGAGAATGGTAGCTCCAAGGGAATCTGCGGTTGTTGTGAATGAAGCTGCGAATGAAGTGAAAGCTATGTGAGGTAAGTTCAAGGCTGACAGGGAAGGAGGGAAACGAAATACATTTTCTGCCCTGCTATTGGTTGGTGCCGATTAGGGAGGGACTGTCAAGAAGGTTGTGTTGATGTGGCGGGAAATTGTGTCAGAGATTTGAAGTTGATGCGACACAGAGGGGACTGTGTGGGGACGCCAGACAACTTCAGATATATATTTATATATAATATATATATATATGTGCATTATCCACATATTTTGGGAGATTTCAGAGTTTCAGCTCTGCCTTGTACCTGCACACAAGCGTGCATACTGACCGAACCGACCAACGCATTATTTTATCTGTAGACATACAGTGATTACTATATATTTTCCCAATTCCTTTAACTTATACCATTCCCCACCCCCCTACCATGTTTTAACATTTTGGATCTATGTAATTTGGCAGTCGTACATGATACCTACACTACAGGCGCGCATATCGACCAAAATGACCAGCGGATTACTTACCGTATCACCCCGGATAGTAGCGCATATGCGCTTGTCAGAGGTCCACTGGTGATCCCCGATAGATCCTAGGGAAGGGTTACAGGCTCGTTGTCCTGGGGGGTTATGGGCGCACTGACCCGCTACTTAACAAGCCCTTTTATCCCAATGGTCTAAGTGGTTGGGATTCTGACATGGTATCAGAGCGAAGGTCTCGGGTTCGAATCCCAGTGTGTGCACTTCGGGCATCCCAGTGCAGGGGGGTGTCAGAGGGTTACAGGCTCGTTGTCCTGGGGGGTTATGGGCGCACTGACCCGCTACTTAACAAGCCCTTTTATCCCAGTGGTCTAGTGACTGGGATTCTGACAGCGCTTATAATAAAATTGATTTTTTCAAGGGGGGCGCTTATATAAGTTTCGGGCATAAGCGCATGCGCTTATATAATGACAAATACAAATTTATACTTTTAGGGTACCAAACTGTACCTTTTGTTGATGCCATTTCAAACGAGTCGAAATAATATAGCGTCACAAAGCAGAATCGCGCGCAAGCGATTCTGCGCCTCACTTTGCAGGCATTCCAGCACATCATGATAGGACGCGCAGCCAGTCAGGTCTTCGCGAGTCAAACGAAGCGAAGATGAAATTTGGCTCGCTGCGAAAATGAATCTCGTTACCGTTTTAAACAGATTTATAATTTCAAAATGTACGTGCGCTTATAATAAGTAAAAGTTTTCCAGGGGGGGCGCTTATAATCGAGTTTCGGCCATAAGCGCCATGCTCCAGATAGAAGCGCCGGCGCCTTTAATCGGACGGCGCCTATATCCGGGGCCATACGGGTATGTTTGTAGAGATGCAATTACCGTATGGCCCCGGATATAGGCGCTGTCCGATTAAAGGCGCCGGCGCCAGGGCTGACGTTTCATTTTAAGCCTCCCTGATTCCGGGGAAAAATTTCCCCCTCGATTATGGGTGCACATTTTCCAGAAAAGCAGTACCCTGATTGCTCAGGGTTGTAAAGTAGTTAACACTGATTGTTCAGGGTCGAGAACTGAACATCAGAGTAGTAACGCGCGCTTTGTTACCGGGGACAATATCCCCACTCTCCATAAAGTCTGCGCGCTGTGTTTCCTGCTGGCTGTACACTCGACTGATTTGTGCAGGGCGGGTGTGATTGACCTGTTCGAGTCACAGATTTCCGCTGTCAGAGCCTATTTCGACCAATCCCAGCAAAGTATATCTGACATTGCACATTCACGCGATTTCGATGGTAGGTGTATCAGAACGAAGTTTCGAAGAAACTTCGTCTCGATAAAGCGGGAAGGGGGGGGATTACGCACATGCGGGGGGATCACTGCGATCAATCCAAGGCGGGGTCATCGGAACGAAACTTCCGAGAAACTTCTTCTCGATAAGTCAGGGTCCACACAGTCGATACTCTGTTAAGTCAGGGTCCACTAACAGCCTAGTCTGTTACACTGTACTCAAAATCAGGGATAGCTAAAATATTACTCTGATTGGATCAGGGCTGGAAATTCAATAACTCTGAAATTTCAGTCTCCACGAAGTGGAAAGCCTGAAATCACCCTGAAATCAGGGTAATTACCCTGATAAAACCAGCCCTGGCCGGCGCCTCTATCTGGAGCATGGCGCTTATGGCCGGAACTCGATTATAAGCGCACCCCCTGAAAATTCTATCCTTATTATAAGCGCATCCCTTAACCTTTCATTGGAGGCATTACAAAAGATTTTACTAAATTGTCACTTTTTCTAAGCAACATCAAATTAAGCTAGATCTCCTAACAACAAGTTTAGCCGGGGTTCTTCTACCTAGCATGGATCATACAGTACCCCTCCTACTCCTCCTCGTCAGATTCGGGCTCCTGGCAGTTGTTGCCAAAAAAACCATCAGCGATGATGTCATCGTCGACATCCACTTCAGCTGTCAGCTGGCTCCGCCTGTGCGCCATGGCGAGTCCGTCCTCACTGCCGTCAAGCTGGTTGCTGATGCCACAGGTGAGGAAGGCGTGCTTGATGAGGTCGGCCGGCACTGCCTTCCAGGCTTGTGATACCCACCGCAGGACGACCTCTGGTGAAGGCTTCTTCAGGTTCCCTGAAACATTACGGGAGAACGGTGGAAAGCAGTTAGTGCAACAACAAAGAATTCGGGGGGGGGGGGGGGGAATACCGTACTCATGCCATACCTGCTGCCGTTAGCTACTCTTGCCCCTCTGCCTCAAACCACCTCTGGTACTGCTGGCGGACCGACGCCTTAAAGCTCTTGTTGATGCAGACATCGAGCGGCTGTACCTCCGCCGTACAGCCCGACGGGATGATCGCCGGCACGCAGTTCATCTCGCGGAGCTTCTCCTTCACCTCCTTGGTGAGGTGACCGCAGTAAGAATCCAGCACCAGCATCGAGCTCTTGGAGTGTCTGCCGAACCGAGGCTTCAGGAACGGCTTCACGCCCTCCTCAAGCCAGCGAACGACGCCAGGGGAGTCCATCCACCCGTTCTCGTGGCAAGCCACGGCCACATCTGCATGAAACACGCACGGGTGGTTAGAATTCGAACTCTGAAAAGAACGCAGTGACCGAGCCGTGCACCTCTTTACTTACCGGCAGAGAAATCGCCCTTCGGCAAGGTTTTGCACTTGAAGAACACCCACGGCTTCAGCTTCCTTCCGTCCGCCGTGCACGCCAACATAACGGTCACTCTCTGCTTCTGATACCCCGCGCTCCTGATAGGCACCGAGCGAACACCCGTTTCCTCCACGGTGGTGGTGGCGGGCATCTCCAGCCAGAGCGGCGTCTGGTCCGCGTTGATGATCCACGCGGTGTCGATGCCGCGCTCACGACACTTGGCACGCACGAACTGCCAGAAGCTCTTGCACTGCTCAGCGACATCTGCACGGCGGTGGAAGAGACGTCGGACACAGACGGAGGGCGTTAGTACAATTAACGAAAAACAACGTGCCAAATTGAACGGGGTAATTCTCACGCGCTGCGGTTTTCTGGGCAACCTGGGTCTTCATGCGGACGCTCAGATTCCATCGCCGCCGAAAGCGTTCCGACCACCTCTGGCTTCCTTTCCACTTCTTGTCTGGGTACAGAAGCTTCATGAACTCCCGCGACCACTCCTGCAAGCGGCCGACTGACACGGCGGTTCCCTTGCGGCGCCACTCGAATAGCTTCTCGTACACCTTCAACTCCATCGGCCGGTACCACGACGCTCGCCCGCGGCCGTGCATGCGCTTCTGAGCGGAGTGAACATCCTTGAGGAATTCCGCCGTCCGCTTCCAGTTGGTGAGACACTTCCGGTGGATTCCGTTCTCGCGAGCCAAGGCGCGCACCGACACCGCCAAGTCCATCAGAGCAACCCACTTCAACTTCTCCGCGGCGGTGTAACCTTGCCGCTTGTGGTCGGTGAGCTTGTGCCTGGGAGAGGGGGGGCGGGCATCACGGTTCTGTGAAGAGGGGTGGGGTCGCTTGCGATTATTCGGAGGATAGGTTGGTATGGGCAGTTTCTCGGGTAGCCCGTCGCGTGACCAGTACTCAACGCCGTCGTCGTCAGCGTCGCCCGTAACACCTTCTGGAAACACATCCTCAGCGGTGCCGCCCTGGGCGCCGCCCCCGGCGGAAGCCTCCGTGCCACCCTCGGCGCCGTCAGCACCGCTCGCTTCCTCAGCGTCAGCAACATCATCGTCGGCGCCGATCGCAGATTCGTCCCAAGGGCAATCGTCGGCCTGTCCCCAACGTCCTCCAGGAAAGTGTTCCACTTCCACGTACTCATCTTGCGCCTTGTTAGACTCCGGTTCGGAGAGGTATTCGTCGAACGCCGATGGGAGCAGTAGCATGAGCACGGGCTGATTGCCAGTGAGTTGCGGAGACACAGGACCCGGAGGCGGAGGAGCAGGAGGAACATGTCAAACTTATATATGCTATAGTCTGTTTAGGCTGTAGTGGGGTAGTTCTTAGAGGGTACAACACTTTGTGTTTCCTACTTGTACCCATCTCATTTCTAGTTTCATTCATTCCTCAATTCTCTCACATGGTATAGAGCTAGTTCGATTTTTTTTCCTAAGGGCCCACCACTACAATTCTTTTTTTTTCCTTACCTGCCCGACGCGCGCGTCGCGCCTGCCCTTCGAGGCCCCTTCGCGGCCCGTAGCGGCCCCTTAACGGCCCGTAGAGGCCCCTTTGCGACCCGTAGCGGCCCCTTCACGGCCCGTATCGGCCCCTTTGCGGCCCGTAGCGGCCCCCCCTTGCGGCCCGTAGCGGCCCCCTTCGCGGC